CGTGCCCAAAATCTCGAGAGGAGAATGAAGGAGAAGAGACTGCGGTATGGCCATCCCTGCTGGGAGGGTGATTCCTCACTTTCTGTCTCTCTGTGAGCACATGCACACTAGAGCAAAAATCTCTTAAAAAAATGTTTGAATTGATACTAGAATCAAATAACAAATAGATGGTATTTACCTTCAGTATGCAATAATAAATAAATGTACTTAGCATAAAATTTTTATCTTATAATAAATACATTCTATCTTTATTTTATAATACAATAAATATCACCATGGGGTCACATGAAAATCCCATGAGTAAGAACAGAGTGATTAATTCTGCGTAGATGAAGGCATGGGGAGAAGACGTTGGCTGATATCTTCTCAGGGTAAAGCAATAATAGGCACTGGGATTTCTCTATCATATGTATTATCTTCAAGTATTAAAAATTTTGAGGGGGCCAGCAGGCGGTGTGGAGGTTAAGGCACTGAATCCACAGGGCCAATAGTATGGTTCAAATCCCAGATTCAGCAGCTTGCAACGCACACCAGGTGCATGTGTGTGCATGCCCAAATACCCAAGAAAAGAATGGAAGAGCATGAACTGCAGCATGGCCATTCCCTGGAAGGTGATTTCTCATTTTCCTTTTCTGTTTCTGTATGGTGAGTGCATGCACCCCACAGCAAAATGAAAAAAAAAAAATAAATTGAGTTTATTCATTCATTTCTTCCATGAATGAGAGACTGAGAGAAAAAGAGATCAAGAGGAAGTTGGCATCCCCTATAGAGTCTTGATACATCATCCACCCCCAGCTTCAGCTGACCCAAGATCAGAGGCACACATGTGCCCAGCATACTGAAGGAGGTCTCTGGGGACATGAACCTGGAACCCTGCCAAGTGGGTCAGCCTTGCAGAGTGTCACATGGTACTATTATAACCAGTGTCTGTCCCTCCTCTCCAAGGTTTCATTCATTTATTTTTAATTTTTTGAGAGAATGTTTTTGGTCTAGGGTATGTGCGCTTGCTAGAGAGACAGAAAGTGAGAAGTCACTCCCGAGGACGAATGGCCATGCCACAAGCCCTTTTCCCCATTCTCCCCTTGGGATTTGGGGCATGCATGCACACGTGCCTGTGATGAGTTTCAGGCTGCCAGGTTTAGGACTTGAACCATGGTCAACCATGTGAGAGTCTAGCACTTTAACCACTATACCACCTGCTGGCCCTCCAAGTGTTTTAAGTACATCACACACCGTGAACTGACTAAGCCTAGCCACTTATTCAAGAATTGTGAAATATATTTTAGGTGATAGAGACATAAAAATGTGTCAGGAGATGGAGAGAAGTGGACTGAGAGGACGCTCAGCCAGTCTCCGGGCTTTGTGATCAGACGTCCGGCCACCCCGGATGAACTGACTCCTGCGTTCTGGATCTCTGGCAGGCAACAGCTGACTTTTGGCATGGGCTACTTTCATCAGCATTGAGGGTTGAATTCAGGGTTGATCAGTGCTCATCCTGGCTATACCAACCACCACCAGGAGTGGGACTCAGACTTGTAGATACTAAATGGCCCCTGAAAACTACTGGGGCTGGCAGGTGGCATGGTGGTTAAGGGTGCTGGACCCCCACGTGGCCAACTGTGGTTTGGGTCCCAGACTTGGTGGCTTGCTTTCTCACTTTCCTTCTCTCTCTTTCTGTCTCTCTCTGATCAAACTGGAAAACAATAATAATAAAGTTAAATAATTCTTAAAAACAAACAAACAAAAACTACTGATTAGTGCTGGTGTGGGGAGATGATGAGAAAGAGAGGCTGAACTGAGCATGACAGAGTGGAAGAGCATCCTGCGAGAAGAGCTGAGAGGGCTGTTTCTCTCTCTCCACACCACACACACTTCCACAAGATGCCACGACAGAGGGAAAAAATGCTGCTCTTAAGTCTTAATTGCATCCAAGTCTCGCGCTGCACATCACAGTTCTGTAAGATACAGATGGTATGAAGGCCCTTAACCCAGACCAGATGAATAAAGCCAGGGTTAGGACATGACGAGGATCACTTGGCCAACCAGTAAAGGACCTGGGGATAAACTTGGTTCAGTGCTTTCAGCGGCCTGTGCCATCTCTGTCTCTCATCTCGCAAGTGTCCCACTCTGTGTCACCATATAGGGCAGATGTCTGCTCTACATACAGTCTTGGCTCATCACAAGGGCATTAAAAATAGAACTTGGATACAAAAGCTCTAGAAGAGATCTAGATGTAAGGGATTAATTTAAACTTACTGCTGTGTCTATCAACCCTGAGGGTGTTTCAGGTTCACACGGGAGACGTAAGCTGAAAAACTTAAAAAAAGATATCTAAGGAGAAGCAGAGTTAAAAGATGTTCCTAAGAGCTGGCACTACGCAGGGATTGCTGACTAATATCTGTTAGGTTAGATAATAACTATGCCCTGTGGGGAAAAGTTATTTATGGGCCAGGCTGGGCTCCTCTCAGAAAACTTGTTTCCTCAGTAGCCACATCTAAAAATTCCTGTTTTTCCTAGTTAATACTCACAGTAAGAATGAAAGCAAGACGGAAGAACAGAGACTCTTAGAGTCGACCTAAGTTTTCCAAGTCGTGTAAGTATAATTCCCTCTTCTGCCTCGATTGCGGCTTAGAAGAATTACAGTTCTCACTAACAACCAAATTCTCTGCACATCATCAGACCAGACAGAACTGTAATCAGCTCAAGGACCTTCCGTTTTTCATCAGGGAATTTTAAAGTTATAACAAAACTAAGTAAGTATTAGCCTTTCTTTAACCTGACTTTCACATTAACTCCAGATCTTAGTGAGTTTAGGCTCACATGGACTAAAAACCGAAATCAACAGTTTATGGGCTAAGAAAGAAAATGTGGACAGCAAAACATCACTGTACAGAGCCAAGGGAAAGGAAATAGTCCTTTAGCCTGAAAGCATAAAATAGGAAACAACTTCCTTGCACGATTTTTTGTTCAGGCCGGCTTTCAAGGTAAACATAAGAGAATGGGATGAATAAATATATGTGTGTGACGAAACCAAAGTATATGTGTGTGCGTAGTGGCTCTCAGGTCAGAAAAGTGAAAAGGAGAAAATGAGACTTATCACTGCTCTGTTATTGACAGGCAGATGTAATTCAGAGCAAGGCATGCCATTTAAGCCCATTTGTATTAGACTAGGTTTCAAATTGTGAGACCAAGGTCCAGAAAGTGACAGAAACAGTAACTATGAGAAGAAAAGCTGGCAGGGAAAAGAGGAGCCATTCTTGAGAGCCCTGAAACACAGTGTATTTTGTGGTTTGACATATGGGGGAGACGCAGCAGCTACCAAGCAAGCCTGGGCCGAATCAGTGAATATCTGGAGGTCTACACACTGGGGTTTGAGAAAATGGAGCTCTATACCCCTAGCAGCAATGCTGTTGAAAACTCCTCAGATTCTAATTAGCTCCCACGCACTAGCACCACAACAGTCAGGGTGGAGAGGTTGAAAAGAATACATTCCTTAGAATGTGTCAGGCTCTCCATATATCTGTATAGCCGAGGATTAAATTAAGTAATGTGTGAAACCACGTCTGGGACATACTACGGGTTTAATAAAGACGACCTAGCATTACTGTTTATACCAGTCGTAAAAGAGTACTATGAAGACCCCTGGGGGCCCAGTACCCTCTAGGTAGTTTGCAAAACTAAATGTATCTTCATGAAATCCTAAGATGTTACTTGTCATTTTCAATTGTGTTACTAGTTCACTGAAGGTGCAAAAGCGATGGTAGGGAAAACTGCTGTTGCCTAAGCACGAATCAAGTCAATGGCACCCACTGTATCCTTTACTGCTGCACCCCAGAAAATGCCCATTTCCACATGCCTGTGTTTTCATCTTTTTAATATCCTGTGTAATAGACTGATCAGTGTGCATAAACACTTCTGCTGTTTATCACATTTTCCTTGATGAAAAGCACTGTGTGACTGAATTGTGAGCCAAAGTAGCCACTAGCTTCACAGAATGCCATTCTCAATTAAAGAGAATGATGAACTATGGTTAACTGGACTTGGATAACAGACACTTTCTTAAAAATGCAAGAAGCAAGCTTTTCAATTCAAATGAAAGTTTTTTTTTTCTTTTCTTTTCTTTTTTAAACCAATAATGAAATTTGAACTTTCAAATGAAAACTAGAATTTTGGAAAATGTTTCTCTCTCATTGAGTACTTGACCGCTTCCCAATACTTAAAGACTTTGCTGATTAAACTGTTGATATTAACAAATGTGAATTTAAAAATATTTTATAATTGGGGTCAGCTGATGCCAAAATGGTTACTGGACTCCCACATGGTTGACTACAGTTCTAGTCTCAGATCCAATGGTTTGAAAATCACATGGGTGCATATGTGTGCATGCCCAAGATCCTAGGAGGAGGATGGAGGAAAAGGGATTATGGTATGGCCAAGATCCTAGGAGGAGGATGGAGGAAAAAGGATTATGGTATGGCCATTACCCCCTATGGGGGCAGGGGAGGGGTGATTTCTCACTTTCCCTCTCACTTTCTTTTCCAGGTGAGAGCACACATCCTAGAACAAAAACTGCTGTGATTTCTCACTTTCCCTCTCACTTTCTCTTCCAGGTGAGAGCACATATCCTAGGACAAAAACTGCTTTTGGAAAACATTTGGACACTCTGCATAATTCAGTTTACCAGTAATTTCCCTATGACCAATGCATGATGTTACAAA